GGCCCATTTTTTATCATTTTTTAGTGATTTCTAGAAAAGAGCTTTTTTCTTAGCACATAATGGCATTTTTCGGATTTTTTTTATTTGAATAATGCTTAACCTTATTTCAAATTTAGGGAAGCTTTTTCCCTTTATGTTTCCATATTTTGTTCACTATTAGGATTTAAGGAAAAGAGGATTGTCAATACCACGCAAATAAGTTTCTTTAATATTTTATTAAATTTTGGTTAGTAAAAAATCCTGGAAAACAATAATTTTAAGCTTAATACCCTTGCTATTCCATATATGATCATTCTTTGGATTAAAGGAAAGAGCTTTGTTCATAGCACAAAATAGCTTCTTAATATTTATTAACTTTGGTTAATAAACCTCCTGAATATAAATATTTTTGGTTGAGTACCTTTAGTGTACCATGCCTGCTCAAGATTAGGATTTATTGAAAGAGCTTTCTCGTAACACTCCATAGCCTATTAATGCTGGTTTAATTTTTCTAGCGAGTAGCCTTAAAAATTATTTTGAATTTAATACCCTTATCACACCATGCATCATAAAAATTAGGATTTAAAGTAATAGCCCTGTCGTAACACACAATAGCCTCTTAGTCTTTATGAATTTAGGTTAGTGCAAATCCTAAATACAAATATTGTAAAGTTAATACCCTTTTTCTACCATGCATCATCAAAATTAGGATTTATGGAAAGACCTTTGTCGTAGCACACAATAGCATCTTAATATTTATTCATTTTGGTTAATAAAAATCCTAAATAACAATATTTAGAAGTTTATTACCCTTATTGCACAATGTATGATAATAATTAGGATTTATAGAAAGAGCTTTGTTGTAGCACTCAATAGCTTCTTTATATTTATTTAATTTGTGTAATGTGAAGCCTACTAAACTTCAAATTTATTACCCTTGTTGTTCAATGAAAGAAAATCATAAGGATTTATAGAAATGGCTTTGTCATAACACTGAATAGCATCCTAAAATTTACTTATCTTGGATAGTGCTTAACCTAAATAAAATTATTGAAGCTCATTACCCTTATTATACCATGTATTATCATTATAAGGATTTAAAGATAGAGCTTTATCATAACACTCAATAGCCTCTTAATACTTAGCTAAATTGCCTAATGTCAAACCTAAAAAATCTATTTGAAGCTTCTTACCCTTATTATACCATGTATGTTCATTATTAGGATTTATAGAAATAGCTTTTTCATAACTCTCAATCGCTTCTTAATATTTATTTAAAGTGAATAATGTGAAGCCTAATTATGATTGAAGTATATTACCCTTATTGTAATATACATTACCATCATTAGGATTTATTGAAATAGCTTTGTCATAGCAAGCAATAGCTTCTTGATATTAATTTAAATTGTGTAAAGCATAACCTAAAAAATACTAACTAAATTACTACCTTTGCCTAAATAAGCATCGTAATCTTGATCAAATAATTTGATTGAACTATCGAAAATACTTAATGCTTCCATAAATTTTCCTTTATAAATTAATTCTCTGCCTATTTGTTTATAAAAAACTATTTTACCTTATTCGGAAAATTTTTTTGCTTGTTTTTTTTTCTATTTTTTCTATTTTTTTTTCTTTACATCTTATTCTTCACATTTCTAGCTTACTCCTTGACTTTAACTGATTTTTTCATTGTCAGTATTCTCTTAATTATTTATCTTAGGTTAAGCAGGTACCATTAATTTGATTGTATCAAGAATTTTATTGAATTCTATTATTTATTACTCTTTTAAATTAATAAGATTGATACATATCAAATTTTCTTTCTCCTTTGAGTAAAACTGTTTGATTACATTTATTTCAGATTTAAAAGTTAAATACTCTTTGTTTAAAAGTTTCTAATTCATATTCTATAATATTATAATCTCCTGATCCATTTATTTTTAAATCTACTCAAAGCAATTCTTCACTTGATTGATGGTCTCTTTGATTTATTTATTGGATTCTTTATAAACTTATATGAATTAATTAATAGTTTAGCTCATCGTCGCAAATCGAATGGGTTTGGGGTTGGGGTTGGGTTTGGGTTTGGGTTTGGGTTTGGGTTTGGGTTTGGGGTTGGGGTTGGGTTTGGGTTTGGGGTTGGGGTTGGGTATCCTCTAACAAGAAAACGTTATGAATACCGGTTCGACTATTTCAGCACCTAAGGT